TTCTTACCCCGGGAGAAGTCTTTTCTGTTGTCCTTTAATAAACTTCTAATTTCTACTCTGACCTTGCCTCGGCGTGCTCTCTGGTGTTATTCTTCAACATCGGGAAGCAAGGACTCGTCACTGGCCAACAGCGGTAACACTACCGTCAGTCCCTTGAAGTTAGGGCTAAGGACACTGGTCCCTTTGTCTTCCTGGTCTTCACTGGTTAAAGTTCCTTTTGTGTTTTTCACTGCTTCCTCTTCTATTTGGTTTTTGGAGCAAGTGACCTGACCTGATTTGAATCCCCAATGTTAAGCCTCTGGCCTGGGACTCCTGGAGTAGTGGCTTCTTGGGACAGGCAGAAACTAAACTGGGTCCTGGATCAGAAACTCCTTCATTTGTAACTCCAGCCAATTCACGTATTAGAACTCCCAGAGCCTGATTTCTAAAAATGGGTGAAGTTTTTCACCAGCACACAGAAGCTTCTAAGACTTGGAGTTGTTTTAAAAAGGAGTGGTTAGGTCAGTGTAGTCTGCTTCTCAATCTACCTTAGAATAATTGCAAATAGTATCTTGGCAGCATAGAGGAGGCTTTGTCTGCTCTAATGGGCTACCTGCCCTGAATTCAGTGATTTAGTTAAGACCCTATGGCTTGGAAAGCTACCTATCTTCAGTTACTAAGCCCTGTGTTCATTTAAGGAAACTTCCACCTGTGGGAGGAAGCTCCATTTGTAAGGCTGCCTCCCGTTGCATATGGAAGGGGAGACCAAGTCACTGGAAGCTTTTACAGTTTAGAAGCAAAGACTTAGGTCTGGGTGACAAAGTTCACCTTTGACTCTTTTGTCTCAATTGGACTTTCGACTTCTACTTCTGTCTGGTCAGGCAGTGGTGTTCAGGCCTGAAATCTGATAGACCTGTGTAAGTACTGCTCTAGATGAAAGAAAAGGCAAGGGTCCCTCAATTTGCCCCCTTGCTGAAATGAGTAAAATGGCAGGAGTGAGAAGGTATCCTCAGAGTAAAGTTTTTGAAAGATGAAGGATAGAGGATGGCTTGTCACAAGTCTGTCCAGATGGAGTGAGCTCTATAGGCCTGTTGGAAGTTGGCCTCCAGAAGATGGGTAAAGGTTGAGTCCCCTTAGAGGACTCATCTTTAAGGAAAGTGGTGGTGGTGGGGGGAGGGGCAGAAAGCCTTGCATTTTGCTGTTCTTCAGGAACCTTGAAATTGATCAATATACAAAAGCAGTATATTTTAGGATGGCTTTTCTTAACTAATTCAATGGCTTTGTTTAATGAGCAATTCAAGCACAATTAATGAGTAAATTAAACAAAAGAAAATTTGTAGGGCTGGGATTGTGGCTCAGCGGTAGAGCGCTCTGCCTAGCACGGGCGAGGCCCTGGGTTCAATCCTCAGCACCGCATAAAAATAAATAAATAAAGATGAAATTTTTTAAAAAAATTGTAAATGAACTTGCTATAGTCTCGATCTTTAGGTCTTTAACTTCAGGTCTTGGAGAGCTCAGTGGTGGATACTTATGAAATATCTGAATGTTTGGATCATTTTTGAGATTAAGATGCTGAAAGTTGTTTCTTAACCATTCTAATCTTATATTGCATTGGGGGAGGCATCTGAAGATAGCATATACATGCTTCTGACTAGTAGAGACTTAACTGGGGAAGGCTACTAGAAACTGTCCTAAGAAAATAGCTGTTCCCACTTCCATGAAGAAGATGTGGTGTCTTGGTTAACTGAAAAGTCATGTAATGTGTTCATTTAACATTGATCATATGTGTAACACATTCTGCTAGGGCCAGGAATGTAATGGCAAGCAAGATAGATGCAATTACCTCCTGCATAAAGTGTCCTAGGAGAAAGAGATGCACACACACAGCACAAGTAAGAAAATACAGAAAGTTAGCCAGGTACTAAGTGCTATGAAGAAAACAAGGATAGTCTGCTGCTACTGTTGGGATCTGCAACTAGGTGAATGGATTGACTGAACTCCTGGGTCAGCCATTTCCCTTTACTTACACCAGTGCTGGTCTTCACAGTTTCACATTTGTTAGTGAATAAATTCTAGTGGGAACATCTATTTTTTTTTAAGTGGTACAGAGGGAAAAAGATGTATTTTAGTCTGTTAACAGACATGAAAAATGCTGTCTTATGAAGAAATACTTCTAAAAATCATGAAATGATGCTCTTCAAATGCTGATATAAAAGTTCAAAACAGCTTACTCGATGGTTGCCACTAGAAATTAGGGTTATTAGGAATGTGGTAATAAAAACTAGAATTCCTTATGTGAGGAGTACAAGGGATGCTTTTGGCAAATGAAGTTGTGTTAGTATGTAAAATTAAATTTGGTTTCCTATGTTAAAACAAGGTTTCTCAGATTTGGTCTGCCTTTACTTTTTTTTTTTTTTGGTGGGGATGGGAATAAGACACAAGACCTCTGGGTCGAATTCCCAGATGGGATTTAAAACTTTATCAGGTCTTTTGTTCTAAAATTGCTTAAATGACTTACAGCCAACATTTGGTGTGTCAAGCCCATAATCCTGAGAAGACTACCAAAACTTCAGATGGTATATTTTGCTACTTGGTGGAGTACCTGTACATTCTTGCAATAGTTCATGTTCCCTGATTATAAAGCTTTCCAACTAGGAATGCCAATGTTACACCAGTAAGTAGTTAAAAGGATACTGACAAACATGTTTTTCTTGTGGGGCAATCTCCAGTGACAATACTTCACTGGGTAGATTATTAAACTGTTAAAATATGGTGTTATAAAATAGGGACTCTGCCATTACTCCTATCATGCTCAGTATTCTGGAAAAAATTGATAGCATTTTGACATTGAAATTGGGTTGTTTTGGACAATGGTACTAGTTTTAATGGACAAAAGTTACTGCAGAGTCTGTCCTTTTCTCCAAAATTCTGACATGACTAAATACTGCAGGGCTTTAATGCACTGAGCTAAAGCATATTTTCTTTTTGTTTCTTGTTTTTTTATTTTTAAGTGATTGATAGGCCTTTATTTTATTTATTTATATGTGGTGCTGAGAATCTAACCCAGTGCCTCACACATGCCAGGCAAGTGCTCTACTACTGAGCCACAGCCCCAGCAAAAAATATTTTCACCAGGCAAAAAAATATTTTCTTTTTTTTAAAATATTTTCTCTTTAACTGTTAACAAGACTTTTCACAATCTGAAACCTGAAGATCAACTTGTCTAGAAGTAAATCAATGACTGCTTGGATGGGACTTCAGGTTCTTCTTACTGCCCATACTGCAGTCAAGCCCCATTCTTAACCCAAGTCTGTTAGTTTATGGGGGTCCCTCCAGACTCTTAGAACTGTATACCTGTTGGAGACTAAGGAAAAGCCAAGCAGGGAAGTTCCCCCCAAAGTAAATAATGTCTTTAAATGTGGATGGCTGACCCCAAGACTCAACATGAGACTCTTACTCTTAATTTTCATGTTTACCTCTTTCACTTGATGGGATTATGCTTTAACCAGACTTCTAGGCCCTTCTAGCAATCGTTCTTACTTAATTTAATTAATTAATCTTTATTTAACCTGATTATAGAGTACTAGATTATTTACTAGCTGAACTGGGAGGAGTTTGCAGTTGCTAATACTCAGTAGATTGTAGATATATACTTTGGGTGTTGCAGAGAGACTATTACAATTAACTACTAGGCTATTTTGTTAATGGACAGGCTCAACTGGCTCATTTTTTGATTGTTAGATTTTGGCTGGTTTGGTTCAATGTGTAGCTATCATCTGCCAAGTACTAAAATGTTCTCTTCAGTTAGAATAACTCAAAGAAGTGCAGCTGAGGTACAGAGACCAGAGACCCAAGATGATGGTGTGCCGAAGTCCAGCCCTGGCCGGGTGAGGGGTGGGTGAAGAGTGGGATGACAGATTGCAAGTTATGAGCAGCCTCCAGAAGAAATCTCTGCTGCCCCTGGAGGGACCTTTATTTTAATCTTTTTTTACAGGTGTTTTTTCAGGTATTTAATAGATAGCTTCAAAGCCTGAAACTTTTTTGATTTACATAATTTTCAAGAGTTACAATCTTTTCTAACGTACATTGATTACCTAAGATATTGAGTACATTGTTCAAAATATTTTTCTGTAACCTTAGCCAATCATGATTTTCACCTCAATCACTAGGTGTTAAGCAACGCAACTAGACTACATGACTCCTGACCTATTATTCACTTCTAACTTACAGCATACCTGTAATTATTTCATTAACCTTTAACTTTAAAGCATACTTATGATTTATGGTAAGCTTTCTTACTTCTAAAATCCCAGTAAAATACACTTAGTGAAATTCTATTATTTAAAAGTCTACTACTCTGAAGTGCCTCTAAAATATATTATATTAATTTTACATGATTCTATTTTAATTTCCAAGGTAATTTCCTTTTTTCATATGACCTATTTAACTGCTTTCTTAAAGAACTTCCTTGATCCTTGGTCAAATCATACCAATTCTTATGTCTTTGTAATCTTTAACTAAAGGGCAGGCTCTGCACCTCAACCCATTGTCATTTATATTAACTATGTGTTTTCCATTTTCATCTTAAGTTTCTGTGTAAGGCAAAGGAGGGTCTATTGGTTGGGGAATGTATTTTTATTAGCCTCTTGTCCTTGGGAAAATACCATAAGCTACGTATGGCTGTCCCTGTACTGTTGGCACAGCAATTGTTTTTCTGTAGCTAGGCTGTTGTACAGGTTATGGCTTTAGGATGGGGTTGGGGGGGGGGGTTAGTGTAAATTGTTAACCATGGGATAAATATTTCTTGTTGTTCAGGCTTGAGGAATAACACTATTGTTTGTATCCTGAGACATTGAAACACACCTCATGGCATGTCTCAATTGTATCCTTAGTCTCATTCTGGGAATTTTCCTGCAATCTCAGGCAATATGTACTTTTATTATTGATTGGGTATGCCCTGTTATCCATATCATGATATCATAAACAAAACACTTAACATTCCTAATGGTTCTGGTTTCCAGATGGTGTGGCTCTGCTGCAGCATCCCCCACGCTGTGATCCTGTCAGACAGCAGGTGCAGGAACGCCTTCACCAAAGGTAACTCAGTGAGAGAACCCAAACAAGAGGGGAACTGTTAAATTTTCTGGGAGGTCCTGGATGGACACTTGCACTGGGTCCAAAAATAAAATAGAGAGTTTAATTGCAGTAATTGAGCTTTGGTTGGTTGCAGGAGGTCCCATAACCAATTGAGTTGTAAACAGACTGATCAAGCTATAGCAATAGAGTTCTATTTTTCTATAGAACTTAATTTCTAATTCCATCTTTCTATAAACACTAGTCATATCATATTGTTGGCATTCCCCAGAATAGCTGCTGGTTCTGGGAGTTGCCTAATTTATGAATCATTTTTTTCGCAGTACTAGGGATTGAACCCAGAGCCTTACACATACTAGGAAAACACTATCTTTTAGCTACCTCCCCAGCCCTGAGCTACGTTATTTTGGGACAGGGTCTTGAACTTGTCATTCTCCTGTCTCCCAAATAACTGGGATTTCAGGTTAGTGCTACCATGCCCTGCTTCACCTTTGCTCAAATTAATCCTAATTGGCCTTAGGAATTTTCTCAATAATAGTGAAGGCTACTTTCCCTCTATTAATGACATCTGGGAAGATTATGTGGGATTCTCAAAACAACCCCAAATGACTTGATAATACTGTCTTTAAATAAATAAGGCAGGGGACTGCAAATTGATGCAGCCAATTTGGAAAGCAGTATGGAGATTCCTTGGAAAGCTGGGAATGGAACCACCATTTGACCCAGCTATTCCCCTTCTTGGACTATACCCAAAAGACCTAAAAAAAGCACACTACAGGGACACAGCCACATCGATGTTTATAGCAGCACAATTCACAATAGCTACAATGTGGAACCAACCTAGATACCCTTCAATAGATGGATTAAAAAAATGTGGCATTTATACACAATGGAATATTACTCAGCACTAAAAAATAACAAGATCATGGCATTTGCAGGCAAATGGATGGCATTCGAGCAGATTATGCTAAGTGAAGTTAGCCAATCCCTAAAACACAAATGCCGAATGTCTTCTCTGATATAAGGGGGGTGACTCAAAATGGGATAGGGAGGAAGAGCATGAGAAGACGACTACCACTAAATAGGGAAGAGAGGTGGGAGGGAAAAAGAGAGAGAAGGGGAGCTCACGGAAGATGGAAGGAGAACCTCATTGTTATACAGAATACATATATGATGTTGTGATGAGAAAAAGAAAAAAAAAGTGTGTCACATTAGATTGGATAGAGAGAAAGGATGGGAGAGGAGGGGAGGAGTAGGGGGGATAGGAAGGGCAGCAGAATAGACAATATGATTGATGTATGTACATTCCATGTATGCATTATATGTCAAAATACATTTTGCTATCATGTATGACTAAAAAAAATAAAAATAAATCGTATGGTTAAAAAAAATAAAAATAAATAAGGCAGCACCTTCCCATTTGTGATCCAAATAAGGTAGGAGGAAGCTGTTACCAATTTCCATTCTCTGGTCCACAATTGTTGCTAGAAGAAATGAGCCCTCTCCATTTATTGAAACAACAGCCAGATATTAAAGGCTCAGCCAGACATCTCCCCTGCCTAGCTCTTTAGAACAGTTTTAGGAAGCCGCATCATCTGGATACCTGGACTGTCACTTTTAAGTGAACAGTTAATATTTAAATGCTAGTTGGGCATCACATTAGAATGGATACACAGCATCAAATGTCCTAGAATTTTGTCTCTGTGATTAAAATAATAAAGCAGCTGGGCACAGTAGCACATTCCTATAATTCCATCTACTCAGGTGCTCAAGACAGGAGAATTGCAAGTTTGAGACCAGCATCAGAAATTTAGTCCTATCTCAAGATAAACAGGGCTGGGCTGGGGTTGTAGCTCAGTGGTAGTGCTTGCCTAGCAAGTGTGAGGCACTGGGTTTGATCCTCAGCACCACATAAAAATGTTTGGAGCATGATATTCCATATATATATATATATATATATATATATATATAAAAAGCTGGAGATGTAGTTCTGTGGTAGAGCACTCCTGGGTTCATTCCCTGGTACTGAGGAGAAATAAAGCAATCCAGCCCTGGCTAGAGAAGGGGGCTTCCCCATTTGTGGTTGCCCAACAAACACTAGTCTTAATAAGCTCATTCTCAAGCTTGCCTTTATTATAATATCACTGCAGCGATTACAAGTCATTCAGTATTTCCTAAAGCCCCTGCAAAGCAAGCACTCCCACCATAGGTCCATGGAAAATTCAAGCAGTAGGAAAGGCTGCTGATCATTTCAAGCCAGTGAATTTCAGCAACTCGCATATCTTCAGCACTTTCACATAAATGTATCTGAGGCATTTAAACAGCAAGCCTATTCAAGTAAGCTTCCCAGGCAGCTTTTCTGTACATCTCAGCTGCTTCTAGGCGATTAGCTGCTGAAAGTATGCCTCGGCCTACAATGATGACATCAGAACCCCGTTTGCCAACAACTTCTTGTGGACTGTTGTATTGTTGGCCAAGATGATCCCCTGTAGAAAAACAAAAATTACTATTTAACATAATACAAAACCCAGGAAACCTGCCATGACTCCTTTGAAACAGTTATCTAACCAACTTGAAATAAAAATGTTTTTCCATTTCCCTTGTGCAGAGCAAATGGGTAATACAGGAGGAGAACACACTCAATGAATTGGCTAAAGACCTCTACAGTGGAGACAGATGCCCACGAACTCCTTTTCAATGTAAGTCCAAAGCATATAATCATTAAGGAAAAAAAAGCAAATCTCCTATGTTGACAAGAAAAGTTCAACAACAGAAAACTTATAATAAAACTTGGCCTCCCAGGAGAAGATGACCTTACTAGTCCTCTCAGAATCACTGTGCTATACTACTGGCAAAGTCCTCCAGGGCACCTAACCTGACCACCACAAAGTACATGACTCTTTCTCCTACCATCCTAGCAAGTGCTCACAGACTACACAGACCCTCATCCTTAACGATCGATTTGTTCTTTATTACATTCTGCTGGTTATAGAAGCATTCTGTTAAATGACATATGGAACTTTAAATATCCCTAAAAGCTTAGGTCCTGACTGTACTAGCTAGTCAAAGACTTGCTGCAGCTCACAAACAATCTAGCAGCTAACAGTACCTACTCTATGCCAAGATACAATGTCAAACATTTTATATGTCATCTCTATGATGATTCTCCACAACCTTATGATATTAGTACCGTTATTCCCATTTTACCAAACAAGACCAAAAAATGAAGTAGCTTGTTCAATGTGTGTTAACAGAAGGGCCAGGATCCCAAGTGTTCAGCACAAATATAGAGTTTAAGAAATATCAAGAATTGTTAAATACTAAAGCAACTATTTTGAAGCCTTAGGTAAGCAAGCCATTGTATTGTGCTAGGCCCATGCCATGACAAATGAAGATCATATAGGAAACCTCTGATGATCTTTTAATCTATTAATTTAAATTCTCTTGAGTCTTTTCTCCCTAACCTATAATATTCTTTAAATAAAAAGGCAGCTCCTTTTTCATAAGATGGCTATATTAACTATCTAAAACAGCTCCATGGGTATGTACTGGTCCTAATAATTCAGGGTTTAAAAATAAAACTAAGGTTTACAAATCTTAAAACATTAATTTTTTTCATATGTCTACACAGCATGTTGTCCATTCCTTCAATATCTGCACAGTGCTTGGGGAAATGTAATCTTCAGAACAAGCTCTCATTCTCCGGAGCTTCTGACCTATGAGTATTCCAAACATGTTAGATCCTAACTGTAACCAAGAAACACTACGAAGCTGTAAAAGGAATGTAGTACTCCAGGTATGCAGATGTAAGTAGCCACACATATATACTATACCCTCCAAATTCTCATGCAAGCACGAGTCCAGCCAAATTATGCCAATTATGTGGCTCCCTCTGGAGAGGGAAGCTGGACAGGGGGAAGGATGGATAAGTAAGAATGGCTAGCAATAAAATCCACTTTGTACAGGTGTCTTTTTGAACTTTGTTTTTACCAATGCAAAGTCAGAGCTGTTAGGGTGACAGATCCACTGTGGGGTGATAAGCATATTGTTTCTATTTTACCTTTTAATTTTGTTGTACTGGGGGTTGAAAGCAGGGGCATTCTACCAAAGCTATATCCCTAGCACTTTTTACTTTGTTTTGAGACAGGGTCTCACCCAGTTGTACAGGCTGACCCTGAATTTGTGAACCTCCTGTTTCAAGCTCTGGAATCACTGGTATTACAGGTATGTACCACATCACCCAGGAGTGTTTTTCAGACTGCTGAAAAGTGTCAAGTTCAAGTAAGTCTGGGAAACGTGTCAATCCCCATTGGAAACAACAGACACTGGAACATCAAAGGCTGTGCAAGTCCTCTAACAAAGAAACAGATGTTTAATTTTGTTTAGCCTTGGGCTTTCCAAACTTCCTTGAGTACAAAATCTCTCTTTTGGCAGCTTATTCAGAACATCCATTGATACATTAGTTGAACATCAACTGACACATTACTAACCTAATGTATCAGTTTTTTGGGTGTATTTCAAGTAGCTTTTTAAATTTTTATCCTAAAATTAGACTGCTCTATTCATTATTGTTCTAGACTAAGAAGAGTTCTCTAGCAACTTTTTAACAGTTTTATTTTACATAATATGGGTAAAACAGCTTTTTTGGAAGGGCCATGACCAGTGAACAAACTTACCTCCTGCTTCTAATTGAACTCCTGGAGTCAAATGAAGAAATTCTGGTTTCATGCTTACGCGGGAGCCAGAAATGAAACCAATCACAAATTCACAATGCTCCTCAGCCATTCTAACCTAAGTGGATCGTAAGAGCCATATTACAAGAAAATAGTTAATCACATAAAACTTAACGAAAGTAGACAAATCCATATTAACTAGTTTGAAACTTGCCATAGAATAGATGCCTTTTCTCATTTCATGTTATACACACATAAACTCATTTTATCTGAAACAGGTCATCTTATATGTGAACCACGATTATGATATATATTTGCTTCATTAAGTCCCTGAGGTGACCCTTTCCAAACCCTTTCCCCAATTAACCATACTTGTAAACATCAAAAATCCTATACCATGTGCATCTCAAATGAAGATGCTACATAATTACTCAGTTGTTTGGGTTTTTTGGTGCTGGGGATTGAGCACAGGACCATGCATAACATTTTACCATGGAGCCATAACTCCCAAACCATTACTTATTTATAATAATGCTTAATGAACCACCTACTTCCAAAAAAGATTTGAGATACTTCCCATCATTTAAAAACAGCTACATTTAAGAGCTAAAGAAATCTTACTTCCACTGCTTTCCTCCTCCTCCTAGCATCTGCTATTAAATGGCTTCCCCTTTTCCGTGCTATTTCCTCACATATACAGAATGTGGCTTTCTGATCACTCTTCTCTGAGACTCACAATGTTCCACTCTTGCCACTAGCTACGTTCAACAACAAACAAGTGATGTTTTGTCCTTGAGAGAAATGCACTCTCCCATAATACCAGTATTAGCACTAACTCTTGAACCCTCTGTTATTTGGGAAATCGATTTTAGTTCATTCATGGTTGGGCTTAAAATATAACTCTAGGTCCATATATATTCTTAACAGCTCCATGTAGTCTTTGAAATATGGAAAAATATAAATTTCCATGGCACATTTTAAGCAATATTCCTTAATATATTGTAAAATGATTTGCCCACAATTCTAGTGTCTATCCATCTATAAATTTTACCTAAATATAAATGTGAAGAGAAACTTTGACTAAGGTGTTTTAATATTTCCCTTGGAGTACAATCTGAAGTACCCTTAAGTGTCTACCACAATATATAAAATGCTATAATATACTCTCAAGGAATTCTATCCAACTGATGTTAAAATACTATGACACTAACAATAGTGGAATTTGAGGGTAGGCAGGGGTTCCACAGATCCTAGATGAAGATATTTTTTTCTTGCTCCACAGAATGCAGTTTTAATAGCTCTGGCCATCTCTCACCCCAGGACCCAAACACTTACCGCAGCTTTAGTGTAGTTCCCAGTGGCCAGGGAGCCCGCAGAGCTCATTTCTGCAACAAGCAGGCATCCCCGATGTAAAGGCACGCCCACTTCTTGTAAGCCTTTTACAACTCCTGAGCCTGGTACCACGTGGGCATTTACTAGATCTGCCCAGGAAGCTATTTTAAAAACACCACCTAAGAAGAGGGAAAAACATATGCCAAACAAGAACCTCTAACCTTTTGCCCAACTGACCAGCCAATGTGAAATAAACTCCTACTAACATGTTAATGAAGAGTCCCAATGTCAAGAATTTTAATGAATATCAGTAGACTTGTGGTTCCATTTGTGAAAAATGTATTTGTCCACCCAGTAGCAACAGATCAGAGAAAAAATTCTTGAAAATTCTGTACTTGGTTTATAAAGAACACTGGCAGGCCAATTTTTTATTTTGGCTTTTGCAGGCTGAAGCTTGGGATCCCAATAAAGCTCATGCACTCAGAAAGGGACTCCAGTAAAGATAGGCATTTACTGAGGTCAAGGATAGTGACATATTGAAATTTCTCTTTAAGATGACAAATTTTCACCCTGGAGCAATCTCAGCAACTTTACTATCTTTTAATGCTTGTAACATTGTCCCTTAGTTCTCCTTAGCTATTCAAATTTCAATAGGCAACCACATAACTTTCAAAAGCTAACAGTTAAAAACTGATTTTAAAAAACCACATGCAAAATTGAAGGGTGTGACACTCTTCAGTCAGATAAACTAATACACTAAGTAATGTGACAAAGGTAGGACCTCATCTCCAAGTGAAGACCTTCACAGTCCTATTCTAAAGGAATAGTTTAGGAGATATATATATATGCATTAGTTTAAGAAAAAAAGAACTCACTTTCAAGATGCCTATGAGTATTAAATAATGTGACCAAAGTATCTGTTATAAGGCTAAGTGAAAAAAGCATTAGATACATACAGATCACATCTTTGTAAAAACAGATTATGTGCACAGAACAGGTAACAGAACGTAAGCATTTTTTCCAACCAAAACATGCACTACTGAGTCCTATTTGACATTAAAAAATAAAAAAATGTATACCAATAGACATACTGCTCTTTGTTTTTTATATTTGGCAAAAATGACAGCAGAAAATTGCAGTCTATAACTCTTGCATCGTTCTTTTGATATCAGCAATCTCATTTTCATTAGAATTACCCCTGCAGGGTCTTCAGTGAAAGACTTTAAATAATGTTAACCACCTAAGATTTGCAGGAGCCAGAAAATGAACGCATTCTACACTCTAGGTCAGAGTGATTGGTTTAGGGCAGGCAGTTAGTTTGCTTACCTGAGAAAGAAGTCAACAGAGAAGAAAAGCAGAGCTGAGAGATGCAGAAAACAATTTCACAGAAGACATCACCTGAACTCCTGGATCCAACCACACTTGACAGCCTGCTCTATGTTTAGACTTTCAGTGACGTGAGTCAATACCTTTCCTTTTTTCCTGTAGCCAGTTTAAGCTGAATTTCTGTCTCTTGCAGATTCCTGAATAATACACTTACCTTCATACTGCTTTTTTACTGTGTTTCCTATATCTGCAAATTTCCGGTCTTCAAATATTAAAAACTCATGTTGTTCTGCCAGAGTGGTCAACTCTTTCATCACATCCAGAGTGAAATCACTCAAAATATCTACATGAGTCTTGAGCATGCAGATGCTGGGACCTAAAGCATCTGCTAGCTCCAACAGTTCTCCAGCCTCTGAAACATCAGCAGACAGACACAGATTGGTCTCCTTCTTTTGCATAAGCCTGAAAAGCTTTGATGCAACGGGGTGGACTGTGGGCAGCTCTGCACGCACACCGAAGCTGAGTTCTTTGGGTGCATTTTTTACAGGAGAGAGGGAACCATTCTGAGAAGCTGACACACAAACATTCTCTTGAATGAATTTCTTCACTCTCTCAACCATCTCAGCATCAATTTTTTTCTGCTGCTCAAGAATCTCCAGCGTTTCGGACAATGTACACACTGAGTGCAGACGGATCCCGTGTTCCCGCAACTTATCTCTGCCTCCCTGCTCACGGTCCAACAGCACTATAGCATCTGTGACCTTCAAACCTTCCTTCTGAAGAACCTCAACTGTTTCCAAAACACTAGCTCCACTGGTGACAACATCTTCGATGATTAGACAAGTTTCTCCTGGATTAATAGCTCCCTCTACAAGACGCTTAGTACCTAGAAAACAAAAAATTCTGTTGACTCAATTTTAGAATGATATATTTCAGTCATTTCAAGATGTCTTATGGTATAAATCTGGTATGTATTTATGAAGGGGTGGATGATCTAAATCTTATTTTCTCATCAGTTACCTTATTTCTGGTGACTCTTCAATGTATCTCTGTATCCCAAAATTGTCAGCTACAGAATGTTTACATAAAACTAGCAAATTATTTTGCAACGTAAAACTTATTGTTTTATAAGCAAATTTTCAAATGATTTCTTTTTTTTAATTTTAATATTTATTTTTTAGTTTTCGGCGGACACAACATCTTTGTTTGTATGTGGTGCTGAGGATCGAACCCCGGCCGCACGCATGCCAGGCGAGTGCGCTACCGCTTGAGCCACATCCCCAGCCCTCAAATATGATTTCTTAAAGCAAGGTCACCTCAATTAAGCAGTTCTGAAACAACAATCCAGTATCAGCAATGAAATCATTCTTTATCCACTGAAACTTTTACAAGTTCATGACTCAAAACTAGTCAAATAATTGCTTCCCCCCACCCCCTCTTGCAGTACTGGGGATTGAACCCAGTGATAGTTTACTGCTGAGATATATCCCCAACCCTTTTTTATTTCAAGACAGGGTCTCACTAAGTTGTCCAGGATGGTCTCAATCTTGGGATCCTCCTGCCTCAGCCTCCTGAGTCATTGGGATTATAGGCATGACAACACACCCAGTAGGCTTTTTGAAAACATAAATTCAGAAGGAAAATATTCTGTAACCCTTTAGACCCATTACCAAAGTAGATTTAGTCACATTGCATTATTTTCTCCCTCAAAGCCCTGACAAAACTATTTTCAGATAATGTTTAACTCAAACTTGTGGACATTATAGGCTCAATTTTTATCTTTTGAAACAAACAGAACAGGTAGGCATTTTGCCCAGTTTAAGCTTTGCAACAAATACTATCTTTAACCTTTCCCCTTTTCTCTTAATTCCTTTCCTCCTCTTGCAGAATTGGCAGATTTAACTGAATCAGCTTAGACTAATATACAAAACAGTACTATAGGTATGTTAATAAATGAATGAGTTCATTCTAGAAACATTTAAGATATTTAAGGACTGGGGATGTAGTTCAGTAGTAAAGCACTTGTCTAACATGCATGAGGCCCTGGGTTCAAGCCTTAGCACTGATCAACAGAACTACCACTGTGCCTTTAAGTAGCAAAATTCAACTAAATATTTTTTATAATGACAATTTCAAGCAAAAGTATACAAAGTAATAAAACCCACAAATACAGAAATTCACTCCTTAAAACATGGTGAATCTAGGGGCTGGAGTTGCGGCTCAGCATGTGAGGTGCTAAGTTCGATCCTCAGCACCACATAAAAATAAAAGTATTATGTCCCACTACAACTAAAAAAAAAAAGGTGAATCTTATTTCATCAATATCCTCACTCCTTCCCCCTCAACTTTTAGAAACAAATTCCTGACACATGATTTATCATAAAATTTTTTTTCAGAATAGATCTAGAAAACATCTCTTTAAAAAACATTATTACATCAACATAAAACAATAACAAAGCCCATTGGGCCTGGTGGCACACATTTGTAATCCCAGCTACTTGGGAGGCTGAGGCAGGAGAATCAAGTTTGACACCTGCTTGGGCAATTTAGTAAATCCCCATCTCAAAACGGTCTCTCAGTAGGAGAGCACTTCTGGGTTCAATCCCCAACACTGCAACAAAACAAACCATTAATTCCTTAATATCATTAAATAGTTTCAACATTCTTAGATTGAGTTTTCAGATTTTAAAAAAACCTGATAACCTACTGCAAAGGACCCACAAAAAAATCTCCCCATGGGGTATTAATGTAGCTTTGTGAGAGTAATCTTACTCATGCAGTTTAAATATCTCAAATATACTGGAAAAGCACATGCTTTCAGAATATTCTGAGAGGAAAGGGTCAATATAAATGTTGGGATTTCATGGATAGAATACCCAAAAAAGCAGTTTTTTCATTGCCTAATAACACAAAGCGCGCACACACAAAAAACTCCAATGAAAAAACAATTGTTTTTCCAAATCACTTTAGCCCTTGACTCTAAATTACACAAGTGATAACAATTTAAAGAACCTCTGAAGAATATTTAACACAACTCTTCATCAGTACACAAGAAAAAATTCAAACAGGTTACATATTAACACTTATGGTACTTTAATTTTACCATAGTCCTTTGCTTCTTTCCTTCTAATAAGCATCGGAATTTGATTGGTTGAACAGATAACTGTAGCCAGAGGCAAGGCTGTGTAAGGTACTCCACACACAGTGTCAAAACTGATCCCTGCATTTTGAGCAGTTTGAAATAAAATATCTGCAACCTGCAAGAAAATGAACACATAAACTACTTGTTATCATTACTATTTAAAATGGTGTGTGAATCATGTAACAACATAAAGACAGAAATAACCCAGTGGAGGTGAGTGTCAAACCCAATGGAGGCAGAGAGACGGAATAAATGCCTTTTTATTAAATCCTAGGATACATATATCTAAGTCCATATGGATCATTCAAAACTAGACAAACAATAGGCTTTCTAAAGTTAGGGAAAACATTCATTTAGACGCATTACTAAAATCTTAAATCCTGGGATACAAGCATGAACACCAGAATGAACCTACTGGACTCGGGCTCCACTTTGAGGGCAACATGAGTATATTGGGGAAGGTCATGGTGTTGAACACCAAATATAAGGATGGTCCCCAGAGTTCCAAATTTCTTTTAGTAATCCATTATGATTTGAGTATTGAAACCTACTACTTGCCAGTTGTATTTTCTGAAGGAAGCCTTCAAATACAAAGTTTCACAAATACAGAGCCTACTGTGTAAAATATATTTTATGATCTTTTCTCACATAATCACATTTTAATATTAGAATGCATACTCCCAACCCCATGCTATCCATTAGAAAAGAAAAGCAATCAGAGTTCCTTCACAGACTAGAGGTCTTTAAAATATTTTACACCTATACTTCTAAATGTTTTCATATCTATGAATACTTTTAAGGTGCAAAGGATGGTAATTTCTGGTATTAAAAATATTAATATAGCCTAAAACTATTATATTACTGTTTTAATGAATATACTTGGAATCCAAATGCTGTCGGTGATTTGCTATCTGCTATTTCCATTTCAACAGGCCTGCTCAACAACCTGGTTTTGATCCTCACCACCTCAAAACCAAACAAACAAAAAGAATAATAAAAAGCAAAAACTCTAGACTATGAAAGTTGGAAAATATATATATGTATTTTTCAAACTCACATTCTCACTCCATTGTGACCACAGAATTTTATTCCAATATATTTCTGCTTGAATAGCTTTTACTGATTCTTCTACCATATTTCTCTAAATGTATGTAAACTGAAAAGTATGTACATTGGAATTTAAAATTGTAAATTTAAAAAACTTCCCATGATCACAAGTCTCTAAGTGTTAGAGACATTAACAGTTAACAGAATAGTTACATTAACTATGCGGGCAGTTAATTAAAGCACCTGGCAAATGCTGATAGAATTATAAAACCATCATTTTAGAAACACATTTCTTATATAAATGATACCCTTCCCCTCCAATTAGTTTAAGGTCACTAAGGTCCACACAAAATGGTGTTTAACTACCATTTTGTGTAGTTAAACATTATTTATTACTAGGAAGTTCAAGGTCAGCATAAATTTTGCTTTTAGGAAGTGTAATTATGGAAAAGCCATATTTACATAAATAAGCAGTTGTGAAAAGAAAATTTTTTTGTTATACAGCCAGGTCTCAAAGTTTTGAACTCCTCCTCAATCAGCTACCAAGTCTCTCCCCGTCACACACACATACACACCACCATGTAGCATCAAAAAATAATTTTGTCACCAACCAATGACTTTTTAAAATAAACCAAATTTTCATTAGAAAATTCTTACTAATTCACTTTCTCTACTGATGAGATACACTATAGCAAAATTCTGCATCTTATCATGATTCTGAATGTTGAGATTCTGGATGATTAGCAGTCCATCCACCTCCACTGGTGCTTCAGTTCTTTTTACAATAACTACAAAAGTGGATGCCCAAGGAACATAAACCTTAAGTGCGTGGAAAGAATTTATGGAACTTATATGGTAGCCACTGGTCACATGTGACTATTTCAGTCTTAAAATTCAGAAAGCTCAATGTCCCTATGTGGTTAGTAGCAACTCTTTTGGATAGTATATTTAGACCCTTCTCCTCAAATTATGGTCTGTAGATTCAGCTGCTAGCGGCTACAAATACAAAACCTCAAGGTACTACCGCAGAGCTACCGAGCCCAATCCTGAGTTTTAACAAAATTCCCAGGTGATTCAAATGGTGATTTGCTATCTGCCATTTATATATATATATAT